TATGCACCCCACATACAGAGTGTTTTCTGTATCCTAAATATCTTCCAGAATGTGAAAGTAGTATCTGTGACTTCATTAAAAATAAAGACCTGCAACTCCGTGAGGTGAATTGTGAGAATGTAGGGAAGATGGTCCAGACAATTGTCAGTATGTCATTTTTGCTGTGAGTAGTCATGGCAGGTCTTCTACTTTAGTAACAGCTTGTCTTTGATAAGCACAGGAATATTGAAAATGGCCTATGTAATAAGTTTTAGCAGAACATTATACCTGAAACATTGATGTATTCAAAGTCTTTCACAAGCAAGGATCAAACACTGAAATTACATGTGTTAGATGGTTAAATGCTGAATTATCACCCTTTTTGTGTCTGTTGTAAAATTTGCTAAATAAACATTCCCTATAAAATGTTACATTTCTTCATTCATAGGTGTCTTTCTCATGCCAAAATGATTTTGTAATCAGTCCACATTTGTTAATGGTGCTGAATGCTTATATAAAAAGGAATTTTCTTTAAAAAACCTCTTTTTCATCAAATGAGCCTACTGGAAGCAGATGTGTAAGTATACAAGATTTTAATAAGGGCAGCGCCTTTGAGAGTGACTAATATATAACGGCTCAATTAATCAATCTGTTTTCTGCTAGAGAGAGGATATTCCCGTTTGTGTACTATCTTGAAGTGCTTTTCATTGAATCCCGATACAAGAGAGCACAGAAAACATACAGTGGAGGAGGTGTATCATTTACAACCAAACCTTGTATGAATTTTATAACAAATTGATTACTGCTACCAAGGGACTGAATTAAAAGTGGTTAAAATATCAAGCGTTTTCTATAGACCTATACAATTGCAAAATAGGCTAAGAAACATACCTATAGAACATCCATCCATTTTCTGTCCACTTATCCAGGACATCGGGTTGCTCAGGAGCCAGAGCCTAACCTGGCAAGCAACGGGCACAAGGCAGGATACACCCTGGACAGGATGCCAGTCCAGCACAGGGCACCCACAGACACGTACATGCACACACTCACAAAAAGTTTTCCCAGAGGCTAATTAACCAACCAGTATATGTTTAGACTGTAGGAGTAAACTGGGGCACCCAGAAGAAATCCACACAAACTCGGGGAGAACATGCAAACTCCACACTGGCATCACACTGGGAATTGAACCCAGGGTCCCATTTTATTATTATTGGGATTTTAGCATTCTCTCCAGGCCTTCTTTCTCTATACCAGGGTTTCCCAACCTTTTTTGTCAGCTGAACCCTTCAACCTAAATTATTTGCCTCAAGTATCCTCTTGAGATTTTAAATAAATCAAATTCTATCCGCTAATTCCGTCGTTGGTTTTTGCATATAAGGTTACGGTAAAGTGTTACATTTGATTGTCATAATGTAATATATTTTACTGTAAAAAATATTTAGATATTTTAAAATTGAATTTTAATTTGACATTTTCCATCACAATCTCACGAACCCCCTGCAGTACTGTCACGAACCCCTGCTCTATACCATCACGATGAGCTGGTTGTTTAATCTTTTTTTATTTCTTCTACATGTTACAATTACATCAGTGTTCCTGCACTAGCTCTTCAGCTGATACTGTACGGCTCATCCTGCCACTCTTGCCGAAACAGAAACTTTAACACGCCTTTTGAAAGACTGTGCAGTGACCCCATCGTTACACTTTACACTTTTTTTTTGCTGTTTCATTTTACTATATGAAGAATTAAATTACAGGGCCCTACTGAAAGATTGATTCAGTTTTACTCTGAACATACGTATCACATAAATGAGGTACTGAAATATAAAAGCGGAGCCTAGATAATTATTTTCTCCATGAGAAAAGTTGAGATTTTTCAGAAAGCACCCACTTGTTGGTCATTGCCTTTAGTTTGATTTTAGAACCTAATTTCACTTGACAATTATTGGCTGTGGTCTGTGTCCTCAAGACATTATGCTCTTCATTGGCATTCTTTTTGTCATTTCTGCTTACATTTAAAAGTGCACTTTCTATTGTGTGTGTTTCCACAGGGCAGTTGAAATTTAGCAAAGGTGATGTCATCTTTTTGTTTGCCATTTTAAATGCTAAATTTGACATTTTACAGCACAAGTGTTACAGCAAGTATCTATTTATCTCTTTTATCTGTCTATCCATCCACATACATCCTTTCATTTTCTCATCTGTTCTTTACGAACATTGAAGACAGAGGCATGCATGAGGGAATATTCTGCTGTTCTTTAATTCTTGTTAAAATTATTAACTTATTCTTGAATTTTATCCATAGAGGCCATTTTGATACTGTATTTGTAAAAATTGACAAATTTCTCCCTTCTTGACCCTTATCTGTGTCCCTTATGCTATTGTAAAAGCAGTAAAACCATTAATATTTAAGAAAAGCCTATAAGAAAAACTTTTTGCTGAGCTTGTTAAAGCACTAGAAAAGTATAACTCAGTTTTAAGTCATTAGCGTTTGTAGTTCTCAGCAAAGTTTTCTTATTCCAAAGGCTTGAAACATGATCATTATTTATACAGCTGCCCTTACCATGATATAGATGTTTAAAGAAGGAGTCCTCATAATTAGGACTGGTTGAACAAAGTCACTGATTTCAACGGCACGTTTTTCCAGTGAGACTAGAAACACAATAATCGTGATTAGTCTGATAATCTGAACATTGGAAGACTTGACTCTATCCTTTGTAATAGAAGAGTGCTTATCGCTAAAAACATCTCTCCTATTTTATTAAATAAACATTAGGGAAGTTAGTTGCCTTTCCTTGGTGAGCATCTGTGTAGAGAGGTAGTCCAAAGTATGATCTATTTTATTAGGACACAGGTCCTTTCTTCAAGGTGTCATCTTCAGGTTATAAAGGTGATTCTAGGCTATGTTTAAAGAAAGCAGGGCTCTGATGCTCACAGACCTATACAGTATATATATAAAAGAAACGGTTGTGTTGTTTCTCAAATAAGTTTGTGTCTAATTATTATTCTGCTGTGCTGCTGATTAAAAGAACACAAGTCCTGTGTAACGCTCTGTAATAGAGATGAAATGATCATTCTTTATAATTTGCTTGCCTAGCATATTGCTGTCAGAACCAGATTTTATATTGATTTAATCATCTCTTTATATTTTACAAATTTTATCACTCCCCCACTTTGTAACAATATGTTCACTGTAATTTAATGGAATATGTGGTTGATTAATCTGCTGATCTGTGTCATTTTGAGACACCAGAGTGAAATGAGGCAGATTTGTTCGAATTATTTAATCTGTTCCACTAGATATGACAAATCCTCTATGATATGAATAACAGGCCTGGAATTTCCAGTTGTGTATAACCTCTTTAAGATTTTTTTCAAACCTTTGTTTTGTGTAATAGCAGCCGTTTTATAATTTAAAAGCAAATAGAAACAAGGTGCACAGCATAGCACTGTCTTTTGATTCTCTGTTTTACATTATAATAGTTCCATTGTGAGTCTGAAATCTGAGTTAATATACAGCTCAATGAGAAAATGACATGAAAACTGAAGTGCTGGAAATGCTCTTTGTAAGGCAAAGCTTTGTGTTCAGTTTGGTAGAGCCTATTACTTGAAGGTAATCACAATTTGTTTTGTTTCCCCAATAGGATTTCACAGATAAAGCAGTCTTTTAAGGACTCTTTGTAGCTGTTTCTCCTCATTCACTGCACATTTAAAAAAATGCCACAATGTGCTATATGTAATACACCTGTTTTTTTTACTTCAGTTTTCCTTACAGCTTTTCCCTATGTAGAGCAATGTACAGTACTTTTCAGAATCTTTGCTAATTCAAAGCATAAGAGGTCATCACCGATTAAGTCACATAATTCTAATGCTACACGTACTCAGCTCAGAGTGTAGCACTGCCTAAGATTCTGTCAGGACTCTCAGATCTGAAAACTGTTTTAGAAGGGAGCAAAGTACAGTTGTTATGGCTGCCAGTGATTTTCTGTAACCATTCTTTACTTTTTATTATTCACTGTTGTCTTTGCTTTATTTCCTTCCTTAAACGTTTGGCATTTTGCTTTTCCGAAAGGCATGAGTACTGTTTGCCAATCACTTCTCCCACAGCTGCTCCCAGTGCAGGCTTAGCTTAAGTGCTTTAGGATGTTTGATGACATTAATGGGGGAAATTTTCCTATGTCTATTTTCAGAGTCCTTTCTTCCCTAAGTCTTTAGTTCGTAAAATGTTTGGATTGGTAAACTATAATTACAGTATAAAAAGTAGTATTTGTATGCAGTATATTAAACCTGAAATGCTGGAAGATCCCTCATTAGCTCATGAGAATGATGTATTAAATGTATTAAAAGTGTATGTTTCTTATTCAATGTCCTAACAGTGGTCCTGTCTGCCTATAGGCTTCTCCATTAGAAAAATTTTGGACACTCTTGATTCTTCTCATAGATTTGCTATGGCTTAGGGTTAAAATTGTTCTCATGAAGACACATTTATCAAATTATACATGCCCTAACTGTTTTCTAGTTGATATGTGGCTGACATTCCAGTTCCTAGTGGACTGGTCATTCAGAAACAGGTTTAACAGTGTACAACTCATTTCAGGTTCCTTCCATTTTTACTTTCCAGAAGCCTTTTTTAACCCAAAATGCACTGTGGTTTTTTAAGAATCTTTTTTTTCCAGATATCAGTATTCTTTTGTTAATGTTGATTGACAAACAGACACTGTACATAGGTCTTACAGAAACACTGACACTGTACACCCTTGCACTATAAAGACAGTCAGAAGTTGCGCCGTGTGTATAGTATATATACTGTATCATAACTGCATAATTTTTAAGTCTAGACGTCTTCGACATATATGACTTTATATCACAATAGTGATTTCAAGAGATTATATATAGGGACTACCGTATCTGTACAGGATTACAAGAACTCCCTGTGGTAATGTTTCTCTGTCTGGTGTAACTACTACATTTCCTAAAGAGGTACAGTACCAGCATTTCTAATGCTCTTGTGCTTCCAGGAGACAGCATTGCTCAGCTCACAGATGTTGTCAGCTCCGAGCATCCGGAGTCGGATGGACGGTCGACGATCTTCAGCGACAAAACCGGGATGGTAAAAGCAGCACGGATGCTGCTCTCCTCTGTGACCAAAGTCCTGGTATTGGCTGACAGAATCGTTATCAAACAGATCGTTACTTCCCGGAACAAGGTGGGTAATGTTCCAATAGCCTGCAAAATGGGTCTGTGAAGCACAAACCACAAACCTTGCTGTCGTTGTTTAGTGTTGTAGTGGTGCCAGGGCACAATTTCACAAGATTTCACAGGCTCCTTCTTGTAGCTTCTTGGCAGCTCCCAGTGATTTTAGTCTGTATCTTGTTTAGGATAAACATCTTTCTCCAACTCTATCTTAGAAAACTATTCTAAAAAATACATACTCTGTACACTCTTGTTACAATTCATAATATCTTTGTAAAAAAACATTTCTGTGTCTTAATGCAAGTACAAGTTTAAAAAAATAGTTGATATATGATATATTTTATATCATAGATACTGAATGAGTTTAAATGGTTAGGGGTAAATGTGTTTTTTTATTTTAGAGGTATTAAGAGTGTTGTTTTGCCATTCATAAATACAGTATAAACATTTTTATCAATTTTTATACTGCTATTCTTTTAATATGAGTTATGGAAAGACAAATAGCAAGCAGTAGTACAGTCAGAAATGTAGTGAAACATGACTGTAGTTTTTAATCTTAATCTGTTGACTCCTATTTACTTTTCACAGTCCAATGTTAAATATATTCGAGAAAAAAAGCTTTTGTAAACCTTTTACGCCTCTGCTTAATATCTCACTTTCAGTATAAAAAGTCATACCAGAGTTCATGTATCTAATGGTAGTTCTCAAAGTAAAAAATAAATTGGTAGTATTTGCCCTTAAGATTCAATCATTATGAACATTTGCCTGAATATTATGTAAAATCTTGTTGTTCGTCCTAGGGACCTGAAATGTGGGTGTTGGATGTTTTTACATTTTTCATTAGAGAGACAAAAGTTAAAGTTGAGGAGGAACATAAGAACATACATAAGAATAAGAGGATACAAAAGAACCATGTTTCCTCATATGAGATATCAGATATGAATGTCACCTTGACTGAGATTTTCCACTCTGTTAGTACATACAGTAGATAGATAATTCATGGCCATCTTCTATTATTGCTGCCAGCCTAAACTGGGCAGTCACACAACTAAAGAAATGGAAGTAATCATAGTAATAATAGTAACTTCATTTGTAATAAATGCTTTTGAAGTATAGGGAGTGATATTTAAATAAACCTTAATGGCTTTGTTTACATCTCAGAAAATGCACCTTCAAATGGATCAGAAAGGCACAGAAACTCTAAAGCATTAATAAACTATGATTGTTATACCTTTTTTGATCTCTTACCTTGTAGTGCACTTGCAGTCCAGTATTATCGCGGTATTTCGTACTGAGCAGAGAATATGCCACAAATTACATCTCAGATAATGGAAGAATGGAGCATATTTCCCCGAAAAAGAAAGCAGCTTTTATCTTTTATTTTTAGGGTTACAAAATATATAAGTCATTTTCAAAGCAGTAAGTAATCAAGTCTCGTTATGGTTGTTTGGTCAGATGAAGAGCAGAGCTGCTTTTATGCCTTTCCTTAATGGTTTGTCTGACTAGAAACTCAATTATTGTACTCTGTTTAAAAATAGTATAAAAGCCAGATGCCTAAAAGTTAAAAACAAAACTATAATAATTTCCTTCATAAAAGCAAAGTCTAACAACTTTTCTTGTGCTGTTATTGCTTAGTACTTTATTTCAGAAAGTAGTGTTTTTAAGCCGACGTCTCTCCTCCATAAACAAAAGTACACTTTTTTTTACTTAAGCCCAACTGGTAATGTTTACTTTGTGAAGATTTGAGAGAATTGAGGCAGTAGGTTTACTTTGCCATGACCATAAAGGAATGTTTTTTTTTCCCTGAATCCATAACGTCTCTGTGAGTGGGAAAGCAAAATCCTTTCTAAATCTCCATAATTTATTTTGTCACTTCAAGACCCACATATCACTTTCAACACATCCCTCGCCAGAAAACAGTGGCCCCAAGATATGAATTCAATTTAAGATCTTAAGCATCAAATTATTTACTTTTCCTTGACCCCCTCGTAGGTGCTATCATAATATTTCCCTGCTCCTGAGTATGTTGTCCATGAACCTTTTAACCCACATATTTGAGTGTCTGGTAGTGCTTTGGACTTGGGTTTCTTCTTCCTGCTCCAGTGTTTCATACAAAAATATGCCGTGCTTACTCCTGGTGCTCTTGTGAATAACTCTGGTTGTAGTCTTTCGCAGCAGTAGCAATGAATCTACCTGGGTGGGTTTGCAGAAGCTAGGAGATAGGCTTTTCTAGATACACTAGATCTGATTTAAAAAAAAACACCTGTTTAGCTGGTCACAGTGAAATCGCCCACTGTGTTATTGCAGATTTGTTGGCTGCTCTAGGGGATCTCCAGGAGTTAGGCTGCTGACCACTGCTTTAGATATTTAGTTGGAACTTCCTGTTGCCTGCATTGATAATTCTGGAAGGAGGATGATGGAGGTTTGCTTTATAGTCACCCCAATCAGAATCGCCAACCGTTCAACTGAGTGCTCTAGCCTATGCAATGAGCTGCACAGCAAAATTGAAGACTTGCGCTCACACTCCTGTTTCCCTCAATTTCCCTTCGGGATCAATAAAGTCTTATCTATCTATCTCTGACCTGCCTGCTTGTCAGAACCATTCGTTATTTGACAATTCGCGAACACCACAGCACCTGACAGTGCCTGACAGGAGAGTGAGCACTGATTCAGAGTTCACAGAGGGTATCACTAATTACTGCAAGTGTTCAGGCACCTCAAAGCACCCAGGAGTTCCCGTTAAGTCAGATAATGGAGGGAAAAACCTGGCTGACCCAGTTCCAGCAGACCTCTCGGTGTTCTCCTGATTGCCTTACAATGCTTGGGAAATACTAGGTCACAATTTACTGATGAACCCAGAACAGAACATCGCAGCTCAAGCTCTTGGCCTGCATAAAGAGTGAAATCTTTCGTCGGTTGAGCTGCCCAATTTGACAAAAAACAACTTTGAAAGATTCGTTATTGACAAAACAGTAAAGAGAATATAATAATAATAATAATTCCTTATACTTATATAGCGCTTATCTGGACAATACAGGTAATGGGGTCTCCCCTCCACCACCACCAATGTGCAGCCCCACCTGGATGATGCAACGGCAGCCATAGTGCGCCAGAATGCTCACCACACATCAGCTATTAGTGGGGAGGAGAACAGAGTGATTAAGGAATCTATTATTCCTAATAGATGGGGATTATTAGGAAGCCATGATTGGTAAAGGCCAATGGGCCAGGACACCGGGGTTACACCCCTACCCTTTTCGAGAAATGCCCTGGGATTTTTAATGACCACAGAGAGTCAGGACCTCGGTTTTACGTCTCATCTGAAGGACGGCACCTGTTTACGGTATAGTGTCCCCGTCACTAAACAGGGGCATTAGGACCCACACAGACCGCAGGGTGAGCACCCCCTGCTGGCCCCACTAACACCTCTTCCAGCATCAACCTTAGTTTTTCCCAGGAGGTCTCCCATCCAGGTACTGACCAGGCTCACACCTGCTGAGCTTCAGTGGGTTGCCGGTTGTGAGTTGTAGACTGATATGGCTGCTGGCCATATCAATGTTAGAGCTTTAGTATAAATTGTCATTGACTCCGCTGAATGTTAATTTTGAATTTTTTCTCACATTTAACCTTCAGATCTATAAAAAGAAATCATTTGTCGTGTCCCAGGGCAAAGTGATTTGGTGGGTGTGATGTAAAGAACAAAAGCCAGACCGAATTGACACGGTCTCCAAGTTAATCAAACTGCACTGAAAAGTCCCCATCATACCAGCACCCCGGCGTTGCTCATGTAAATATGAAGTCAGTTGTACGTATTGTTTTGCTACTGTTTCTTCTATACTAAACCAGAACACACCTGGGCTGGAAGCTTGAGTAACTGAATCTTTGGATGGCTTCATTTGTCTTACTGTGATGTACAGGATATCAATCTCACTTGAGGTCATGGTCTCCAGCTAATCATCCATTTTCAGCAACCCCCTCATCCTTGGAATATTGCAGTGAGCCAGAGCCTGATTTGGCTGTTGAAAGGTATAACATGGGAACACACCCTGAATGGATCTCCAGCCCACTACTGGGCCCATATGCACTACTTCCACACACAAGTTAGGAGCAATGAGGCACCGTTACTTTGAAGTGTGGGAGAAAATGGGATCTGAGCGAAAGAGATATGGGGAGGACATTCAGTATTGAACCCAGGACCCAAGAGCTGTGAGGCAACAGTATCAACCCACTCATGACATCCATGGTAATCATACAGTATAATGTATAATAATAACAATTTTTCACAGCACAAGTTTATGCCAATGAGAAGTGTTTAATAGAGCCATACATTTGGAAAACTGCAGAAATAGTACTTTAATCCTAGTGAAGGAAAGTGTTGATAAGCTATAGCTTTTACATGCAAAGCTAAAGATTAGAAGAAGAAGAGATTTTAAATGAGATGTGGCTGTCTAGTACATAGTTGCTAGTAGTTCACAAATGTCTGGTAGTAGAACAGTTTTGTGTTGATGTAGTTTTCTCATGGTATTATGTTTGCTTTATGGTCCTGTTTGCATATTGATTCATGTGACAGGAAAGGCACAAGTTTGAGTTTTGGCCACACAAGATTGATTCACTGAAAGCAGGCAAAGGAAAAAAGCTAATACAGTTTGGCTTAAGAAGGTTTCTCCCTGCCTTTCTTTGAACTGAAACTGAAGGTTTTTGTTTTGCAATGATTGCAGCCAGCATTAAAATTATGAACCCCGATTGAAGCCTTCACAAACATTTTTTTCATATGTTTTATCACTCCCTGCCCGCTCTGCAGAAATATTACAGGAATAAAGCTAAATGAATAGATGAATGATAGTGAATAGATGGGGAATTGTAATATGATACAAAATAATTAGATGAATGATAAGAAATTAAGACAACCAAGAGAATGGTGAAGTTTATGAATGGTATAACTAGATGAAATAGAAGTGTAATCAAACATTTCATTTCCATTCCCCCTTTTGGATCTGATATAATTTATATAATTCTGTCAATAAGTTAAAATTCAGTAGCAGAATGCCTGAGAAAGTACTCAAGAGGAAAACTTTATTAATTAACCAAGTTCTTACATGGAGACAAATGCGTCGCTGAGCCACAATCAGAGCACAGCTGAACCTTTTATTTTCTTCCAGATGGTTTGATGCCATAAAAAGGGTGTGAATTACAAAACCCATCTTTGCTGATGAACCTTTACTGAAGCACTCCTGTACAGAATGAATAAGAGTTTCACTCAAGTGTCCCCTGATTTCTGGTGGCTGATTATAGAAGACAATGAAACAAGAAGTCCTTAGAAACAGTGAGATGGGTGACCCAGGGAGCACTTATCTTCTTTGTGCTGTCAGGAGACACGTACTGTATTTGAATTTCTGCAGCTGGGGTGAAGTGATTCAGCTGGCAAGCGTGTAAATCCCAGCTTGTGTTATCTTCTGTTGAGAAGGAAAACAGGAGAGCTTCATAAAGACGAAAAGTCCATTTGTCTGCGCTGTCCTCTATTTCACTCATTTTCTTTAAAATTTGGGTCGGAAGTCAGCAGCAGAGAAAAGGATTGATGACAAATTGTTGTTCTGTTCTCAGCTTTTTCTAAGAGTTGTGTGTTCCTTAATACAAAAAAAGCATCTACTGCATAAGAATTAAACGAGTCATAAAACCTGAGCTCAGAGGAAGTGAAGATTTGGTCTTTATACCACCACTATTTCATGTTTTTATTGGGATCAGGAATTAGACAGCATGTTAGAGTACTCTTAATGCTTTCCTGGAGGAACAACATCTTAAAATTAAAGAAATCTGAGAAACATGAAATTCAAAATATAAAAAGTAATGCACATTTACTGTATATCTAAACAAGCTATGGTTGTTTTCTTTTTTTAACAATAAAAGAGAAATCTGAAGTACTCTTATTAACTTAAGCCAATTTCATGTTGTGCCAATAGTGTCCTTTGATTTAAGTTTTAGTGTTGGTGAGTTTGTATTTAACACGGTCTTAACTGTTGCCATTTGAAAACTTATTTAACATGGCTCGGCAAAGTAAGGTCAGGAGTACAGATGCAAACATTTGGCTAAAAGCAGAGATGGCATGCCTGAGAACAAGGGCTGAAAAATAAGATAGCATTTCATAATCTGTCACTGATGCTGTATGGTACATATTGTCAAAACTTACACTGATACACTTGCATTGCATGTCAAATAGCGTTTTGCCAAGTTGAAGTCAGTTTTCAGTCTTTTGCCAGTATTACCTGATTCAGGACGGTCTTGGCCGCTTAGTGATGTTGATGTGAAATTATTTTTCTATTAATCTTGCAGGTTCTCACAACCTTGGAGCAGTTGGAGAAGGTGGGCAGCTTCCAGGAGTTTGTGCAGATCTTCAGTCAGTTTGGGAACGAGATGGTGGAATTTGCTCATCTAACAGGAGACAGACAGAATGTATGTACTTCTACCTTACCACCTGCCCTTATAAATACAGCTATTTATAAAACAAATACACAGATGTTCATGCATTCATCAAAGATATATCTTTTAATTAATGTCTTCTATCAAGTGAGGGTTTTGTTGGTATATTATTTAGCCAGGGGGTCTGTAAAATGAGTGGCAGTCTTATTAGATCAAACGAGAATGTGTGGTTTAGATAAAATGCTATCTGCATTGGGACAGAATTTAGTCTAGAGATGTTCTCAGTACCACACAACTCAGGGTATTGAAAAGCTAGAGTGACCTCCCAGCTTGCTGTCCATAAAGTAATATTCATAAGTCCACTGGTCCTTCTTTTTAGATTACTTGTTCTAGTTGTGTTTTACCCCCTGGTTCAAGATATTCTAACACCATCCATTAGGCAAAAGTCTCTTGGAACACACAGAGCATTCGGTCACTGGGACAGTACAGCAGTGTGATATTTTTGGGCCTTGTTGATTGGTTCAGTTTGCAGAATTCACAAGAATACATGAAAGCATTTTATTTTATAATTGATTGCATTGACTATAAGAGTTCATGCATTTTTAAATTTTCGTGTAATTGTTTCATTAATATTTGAGCATCTGATTTCACACAGTAGTTTCTGCCAGACAGGTTTAAAAGCAAACTGTGTTTTAGTTATAAATGTAAACAAAGCATTACAAAGCCAGAAGCCATATCACCCTGCAACTCACAACTGGCAACCCATTGAAGCTAATGGGTCCATGTGGGTCCTAATGCCCCAGTATAGTGACGGGGACATTTTACTGTAAACAGGCGCCGTCCTTCGGATGAGACGTAAAACCGAGGTCCTGACTCTCTGTGGTTATTAAAAATCCCAGGGCACTTCTCGAAAAGAGTAGGGGTGTAATTTGTCCTGGCCAAATTTCCCATTGGCCCCTACCAATCATGGCCTCCTAATAATCCCCCTCTATGAATTGGCTACATTACTCTGCTCTCCTCCCCGCTGATGTGTGGTGATCGTTCTGGCGCACTATGGCTGCCGTCACATCATCCAGGTGGATGCTGCACATTGTTGGTGGTGGAGGGGAGTCCCCATTACCTGTAAAGCGCTTTGAGTGGAGTTTCCAGAAAAGCGCTATATAAGTGTAAGCAATTATTATTATTATTATTATTATTATTATTATTATTATTATTATTATTGCAGTTGAATTATGATCAGACCATAATTAGGTCCTACAACAGCAAAAGTGCAAAAGCACTGTCTGTTGATGTTCTCACAACAGAAAATAAGAGATAATCGATCTTTCCTTGAAACCCAAGGCACAATGCTTGGGGAAGGGTCTGTCATCAGTTTTGTCTTGCTGAAACACCTCTTGGGCTGATCTTATTGGTAGAAAAGAAAAAATAAAGGGATAAGCGATAAAAGAGATAACAACACATTTATTTTGATATATTCTTCAGTTACTATTAAGCAATTTTTCAGTAATTATAAGGCTCTGTGGAGACTACACTAATATATTTCAGTGTAAGTACTGTTTTTATGACAGGTGAAATACAGTGCTGTTGTTTCCATAGTGACCTTAGGGATTATAACACAACCTGAAACAATATTCAGCAAAAGCTGCCCTTTCACCTGTGCTGGACCTTAAGACGTGGGAAAGTAAGACGTGGAAAAAGCTGTAGATCATTTTAGGAAGTACTTATATCCCAGTTCCTTGAATTTCCACACAAAGAAAGCTTTAATTCTCCAGTACTGATGAATATATAGTGAAGTGCTTATATCTGGTGATTTTCTTTTAATGAGTGTCCGGTTGCTGTCGTGTCATGTAAGATGATAGGTGCATTTCCACTTGTCTTCATCAGGATCTGAAAGACGAGAAGAAGAAGTCAAGGATGGCAGCAGCAAGGGCAGTCCTGGAAAAATGCACTATGATGCTTCTCACTGCTTCTAAGGTAGTGTCTCTGGAGTATTGCTGAAGGATAAGATAAGATCACTTTATTGGCCATATAAATGTTCTTGTATTAGGAATTTGTCATTTTCGCATACCCCAACTTGCTCTCCATGAGACACACAGACAGGGAGAGAAGCTTGGGGTTAGAGCGCAGGGTCAGCCATTTATACGGCACCCCTGGAGCAGCTGGGGTTAAGGGCCTTGCTCAGGGGCCCAACGGAGTAGGATTCCTCTGCCAACCGCAGGATTCGAACCGGCAACCTTCCAGCTACAGACGCAGATACTTAGCCAGAGAGCCACCAGACCAGATAGGAACATATGAGTGGTTAGAAGTATGATGAGACTGTTTGGCCTCCCTGATGCATTTGTTTGCCTGTAGTTGATTAATCTAAGGATCTCATCCAGCCATTTCCTGAATGAAGCCCAGCATCATAGCTTGGTAGCTTGTTCCAAGCATCCATTAAAAAGGGTGTCTACTGTTTTCAACGAACTTCCCTGTAATTTCCTCTTGTGACCTCTGGTTTGTGATTTATGGATTCTGAAGAGATCTGATTTAATGCTTTTGTGGATTGTGAGGATGGTGGCAATGTGGAGTAGTGGTTAGGGCTCTGGAGTCCTAAGTCCTGAGAATTGATTGATGTTGTACTGCTGCTAAGTACTGCTGTTGTATGCTTCAGCAAGGTAGTTCACTGAACTGTCTTCAGGCAAATGTCCAGCTGTATAAATGGATACAAATGTTAGTTGCTTTGGATTCGAGTGCTAGCCGAATTGATCAATAATAAGTACAAAACTGTGAGCACACTGTACTTTTAGGAAATCACTTGACTTGAGTTACCTCAAGTATAGCCAGTGAGCTATTGAAGTAAAACCTGGACTTCCATTCTCATTATATATTTCTCTTTGAACTTGTATGAATGAGCTTTGCAATTTCATGGTTTAAAGTACCATGGTTTGGAGCTGATCAAACTCTGGATTTGTCTTGCTCATTCAAAGATGTTATGAGCTAAAATCAGTAAAGCTTTAACAGAAAAGGCACCTCAACACCTCTTTTTTTCTGAAACATGTGCTTTGGGGATGAAAAACGGATCTTTAGTCACATTGTGTTGGACATACCAGGACATGACCTCGTAATACCACAGCAAGAATGTTATATTTTGTGCCTCACCTTTAAAGAGTTCAGCTGCTTATACAGTACTTGATGTAAAGATATAAAAAATATGCTTTTTTTATGTGGAAAAATGTTACTAAAAGTAATTTTTAATCAATGTAACAAAACTGTTACATTTTGTGAGCATTCAAGCAGCTTTCCACTTGAGTACCTGAGGAAGTGTGGAGCGGCCTGACATTTGTAGATGCTGAATTTGTCATCGTCTCCTCCAGACGTGTCTGAGACACCCAGATTGTGAGTCAGCACGGATTAACAAGGACGCAGTGTTCCACCGTATGAGATTTGCCCTGGAGCAGGTGATTGAGATTGTGACAGATGCCAGGCCCAATGGAGAGACTGAGGTCCAGACCATCAGCATCTACACAGGCATCAGGGATTTCAAGGTGGGACTCTTTCAGTGGAGTGGAGGTGGGGGGAACTCTAGCTAACGGATTATTGGCAGGGATTAACTACACACAATGATATAAACATATTTTTTCTTGTTTGCATGGCTTGTCACTGATTTTGAGACACACACCGAAAGTCAGTTGCTTAGGTTGTACTGCCCTTGCTGGAAAGCTGTATATTAGGTCTGGAAGTGTACACACCAGGTTCATTTTATCCGAATGCACATTCACATTGGTGAAGGTGAAAGGACCCTACAGTTATGAAAGAGATGCAAAACTACGTTATTTAAGCACATAGAGTAAAAAGTGTCCTGATAAGACTTTCCAGAAATGAGGCATAGAGAGTGCAGTCAGTAACAGCTGAGCCAAAGACTTACAGGTTTCTGTGTTCCCCTCAGTGAAGTATTTTTACAGCACCCACTTCCCCTTCCTCGGAGGGGAGTGGTAAAAATTGGTGGTGGTGGAGGGGAGTCTCTATTACCTGTAAAGCTCTTTGAGTGGAGTGTCCAGAAAAGCGCTATATAAGTGTTTGCAATTATTATGATTATTATGACTATTATTATTAAATACATGGGAACGAATGAATTATGTCTGTTTTTTTATTCTAATTCTGAATAATTTTATTGTTTTTTTTGTATGAAATTATAATGTTATACAAATCATCCCATGGGTATAAGAAACGTGTAATCTGTTTTTATTTTTATATTCCTGTGTCCTGGTGAGCAATAACACTAATGTATCTTTTTTTATAGCTCAAGAGAGTAAAACTGTTTTTCTTGTTATGACGATTTGTTTGTCAAGGCAAATTTAATTTTCTTGCGTCTTATTCTTATACTTCAGAGTGTTCACATTTTAAAAAAAATTAACTTCATTTAATTATTCATTCATTTGAACATCTGCATTCACTGAAAGTCATGGTTACCTATGGAATAACCAGCCATGTGTAACAACAGGCAAGGACTCAATTACGAAAGAAATACGTTGGAGTGGCAGCACTAAAGAATAGTAAGCATCAGAACAAACCTATCGCCGGATTTCTGCATATTGTTTTAGAAAGGGTTATCTATATCTGAATGTACAATTAAATTCGTGACCATGGTGCTGTATACTCAAGGGAGTGCTAAATCACTATATAAATGAGAGAGTTAATTGGTCACAGGAGATGATTGAACTTGTTGAATGTCACATCTGGTGAAAATATAGAACGAAAAACATGGAAAGGAATTAGTATACCTTGCTTACCAAGAGACGAGTGCCAGTATGTTGGAGGGTAGACTAACTCAAGGCACTGGCTTGTTTTAAACTTGTGAAGACAGTTGGTCAAGGGAAGACCAACTTTCCAAGACCAGATGTCATGATTGTCTGGGCAAGAGTATCTAGTTACTGCAGAACTCCACTTGTCCAAGTGACTGTTGATTGTAATCTGAAAGCATGGAGCCCCAGGCAACTAGGGTATTGTCCTGATCTCAGCGAGGGACAGGGCTGTGCTGTAGTTGGTCGCCTGCAGGCTGCTGTGCTGTCAAATGACCCGACGGATAGGCAGGTTAGAAGAGAGTGTGATCCAGGAGGTAAAGACTCCATTGAGCAGTCAAGCATTGTAAAGCAAGTATTGAATAGAACGCAGGTCAGATATCCCAATAACCTTAACAACAGTGAATGTCCCTGAAAGGACTGCTTCCCTTCCCTCTGTTCCCCTTCAGAACAAAGTAGAGGGCCTGCGGGAGGAACAGTACTCCATGTCACAAGAGAGCCTGTTGGCGATACTGGAGGGTATCCTGGAGCACACAGAGGACTTCACAGATTCAGCCTACACCAGCCATGAACACCGGGAAAGAATCCTTGAGCTGTCTCAGTTGGCCAGGCAGGAGCTGGAGCAGCTCGTCACAGTGTGGATTCAAGCAGTAAGATCTGGAGGCATCCTTATTATTTTTCATTCCGAAGCTCATTACTTGTAGAGGGGGAGACCCCCTTCACTGTAGCTTCCGAAGAGCACTACATGGTTCCACTCCACATGAGATCGGGGTGGAAAGTTGAGACATTGAATTAAGGAAGAATTTAACAGGCGGCCAGTTTGCAAAACCTAGAGTGGAATATAGCCGAGACACGAGGGTTAATCCAGTGCTGTTCTTTAAGAATAAAAATCCTCAGAGAAAGGTACTCCCAAGGCAAAGAAAAGACTTTTACAACAGTTGTGGCTCTTGTAGTATAGGTATCCAAGTTCCATACCTTGAAGGTTTATTGGTTTTCATTCGGCTCAATTAAATGATTTTGTCCAATGACTTAACTGTTTGCTTAACCAAACCAAATTAACAGTGGCCTCTGGTTTTAGGTAAATTATGATTGGTAATTTGTTTAGGGGTCATCAGTTGTGTACCTACTGGTGCAAAAAAAAGACATTTCAGGCGTAAGCAGGGGAAATGTAATACTTTATTTTTTAAAAAAGGGAGAGGAAGAAAAGGTCAAAGTGTGCTTCAGTAATAGTTTTTGGATTGCAGTAAGTACTTTTTATGGACATAATTATTATTTGCGACCTTCTGCTTTCCGTTGATTTTGTGATGTCAGTAATTGGTTGGCTTCCTGGGTCTGCTTTGTCTTGGATCTCTGTGCAGTTGATTCCATACAGATTGGTGACTCACACAAATTCATTCTTGGGTGCTGGGTTACCTGCTATTCCTCACGGTTTGACTTTAGCCTCTGAGAGATGTAGTAACCTTTTTGGTATTTTATTTTGCCGAGAAGCAGTTATTCAAGTTTTCGTTTCTGGTGTTAAAAGCCAGACTGCAACTGTTCCTTCTCTCTCTTTTCTTTTCATCACATGTTTCTGATCATTTAGATTGTTGCTAGGTTTCTTCACAATGGACTGCACCATGGGGTATTTTTGTAAAAAGAGCTATAAAAATCAAAATCAAATTTCCTGCTCTGTAGTGCTCTACAAAGCCTTTTGTATTTGAGCCATCTGAAGGTTTTTCTCTTTTTAAGAGAAATGGGGCAGTCTTTTGTCAACATGATGGCTAAATAGTTTGTTATAAGCACATTTTCACAATAAAGAATTTTATGTTCATCTTTAAACACTTCTATACTTCACCTCACACAAACGCCGTTTAGTGAAACCTTGCTTATTGTTAATATAACTATATAACTATATTCAACTAAGTCTTTTTTCCTCTCTGTCTTGTTCCTCTTTTGTTTTCATGAACATTGTCCTTCTGATCTTGGAGTTTTTGTAATTATTTGCATATCTCATAGACATACTGTACATCCTAGTAGGTACTATGTGCCTAATGAACTATATTTCTTATATTCAGTAGTGTACTGAATTAGTCCGTTAGTGATTTCTTGCACATCGTTTTATTTTTATATGAGATTCATGAAGACAATAATGCAGTTTACTCTGCTTCCCAGTGGACATGAATTTTGTACAACTGTGCCTAGATTCCCTTAATATTGCTTAGGCAACACTTTCAAATCATAATTAATAGGGAGGTAGAAAATTATTGCACTCGGTTGTGGGTTTTGTGTCTTTAAAGTAATGCCTGCTCTAGACTTGTAGCTGACGTTAATGATATCACAGAATCCAGTCCTGATTCCTGTTTGCTTTATTTTTCATTTTACGGTTTACTAGTCAGCATTATCAGAAAACAGGATGTTCTCCTCCACCTTTTCATTAAAAGCAGAGCATTCAATTATCTGCAGCTTTTCATGAGATGTTGTTGTATGTTATTCTATAGTTTTGAGCAATCATATTCCAAATATACAAAACAATCCTATTGCTACTCATGTTTCACACCTTGCTGCAGTTGCTCACAGCAGGAAGACACATTCTACACTTGAGCTTGTTTGGTGTCTCTGAAAGACTGTTGTATTTCACAGGTTGTGTTCAAATTCACAAGATAGTGGTGAACTTTATTCTGTTAAAACGCCTGTCTGCATGGGCAGGATGGAGAAGAGTAAATACAGTCTATTCCAATGCCCTTACAGTATACAGTACAGGATCCACACAGAGAACACAGAAGGTAAAAGGAATTACACAGTACATTTACAAAAGAATAACCAAGCACAAAACAAAGTTATTCATAGAAAGGTGATTGTTCTAGCTTGTCTTTCAATCAAGTTTTAAACATGTCCACAGCCACAGGGTCTCTTAGCCTGATCCTAGAGAACCCCAATCGCCCTAAATCATCTGCCTTTTACAGATGAGGCTTACTTGTCCAAACCATTATTTTTAAAAATGAGTGTAATAGCAGATTTTAAGTTTACAGTAACAAAACCAGATTTCAAGGACTTGGTGAAGAATTAAATAACAAATTGACAAAAGGCAAAAAAAATACACTTGACTACGAGTATAGCAAACAAGTCCAAAGTATGTTGTAGGACTCATTTTAACTACCATCTCAGTCACATAAGAAGCATTCAAAGCAGTAAAATGACAGAAAACTAAACACTTGGGAAAGGAGGAGTGGGGTAGATGTTATCAGAAGGCAAGGACAGCAGATGATTATTAATATTATGTATTACACTGTTTAACCAACAGGGGAAAAGTAGATCTTTTAACTGGTTTGATCTTTTTTATTCATGACGGAAAGGAAGAACTGTCAGCCTTAATAGTTTACCTTGTGATCCGGCTGCCTTCCAGAATGCAGTTCAGTTTTGAACTGGGGAAAGAAACAAGGTAAAAAAAACATTTTAAGAGCTAGACTGATGTCGTTATGTAAAGAGTAACAGAATCCTTAGTATACCGTAAGCGCTGTTGTAATTTCTCCCTGTAGACTGTTTGAATTCACCACATTCAGTCAATGGAAAGTGATAGTCTAGTCACAGTAGGACTGACAGCCGAATGGTTCCAAATGTGTCAATAGCTCTGAAAACAGAGGTAGAAACCTATGGGGATGGAAAGCAAGAGGTTAAGATAAGATAAGATCACTTTATTAGCCATATACAATTTCTTGCATTATGAATTCGTCTTTTCGCATACCCCAGCTTGCTCTCCATGAGACACAAAGACAGGAAGAGAAGCTTGGGGTCAGAGCGCAGGGTCTGCCATTGTACAGTGCCCCTGGAGCAGCTGGGGTTAAGGGCCTTGCTCAGGGGCCCAACAGATAGGATTCCTCTGCCAGCCGCGGGATTTGAACCAGCAACCTTCCAGCGACAGGCACAGATCCTTAGCCACAGAGCCACCGCTCCGCCCCAGGTTGAAATCTGTTTGTATTGAAACACTTTCAAATGATGCTACATTCTGCACAAGAACCATATTTAGACTAGTGTCTACATGATGAATGCCTGCTAAACCACTACAATGAAAAGGGGGCGAGATTTTTCATAACAGCCATATTCAAGAGGACCACCTCCAAAAGCAATAAAAATATTCAGTAGATGCAAAGTTTCAGTCACTTTTCAGTCACTTTTTAAAAAGTGAAAATATTGTAGATGTCTTTATATAGCTCCGTATTAGAGTGTATGTTGACAAATTTGGAAAATATCCAGTCCACCTTAGTCAAGGCCACAGCTGTTTGATGATTAGTTAAAACAATTTGATCTGAGGACACTAATGTCATAGTTGAAGGTTATATTATACACTAGGCTTTATTATACCCCAGGTGCTGATACAGATAATTGTGCAAAATCACTTGTAGTAACATGATCAAAAACTCAATAATTCTGAGATAAATTAAGAGATCCTACCAGCTCCTGTGCATTTAAATATGTTTTTTCTTTTTTAAAGCAGCAGTCCTATAAAGTCAAAGAAGTGACAGAGGAAATGGAGCTGTCCATTCTTAAAACCTGTCAGAGTCTGAATGAGCTGAGGAGAGAGGTGAGAGCTACCTTTTATATCTTAAAAAAAGAGTTCACACACTTGATCCCAACTGCTAGAGAGACATTCTTTCAGCTCTGAATACATGAAACCCAATAAGATAGAACCAAGATCATATGTCTGTGGGTAAAGCTTTACTTCACAGATTACAGGTTTTTAGGAAGTCATTTGATTTTGAAGTACTTTTTTGGGTCCTACATGTGTGTGTTTTATGATTTTAGATTCTTATTTTTTAAAAGATGGTGTAGCACCTCTGTTCCTGGTTGTAAATCATCAAGTCATGAAGTCTAAAAAACATGAATTTATCTTGTTAAGCTGCTCTGTTAAATCAGCATCGTCTGGCTGTGGTCCATGAAACTTACAGGATTTCTGGTATTTTCATTTCAAGGGAAATACCACCGTGTAGTATATAAATAAATTATACCCACAAACACATACTGTAAATTGCAAAGCTGCATAAATTCTACTCTGAAACAAAATTGTCTTGAGAGTTAAAAATGAAACTGACCATAATTGAAGGAGGAGGCTGCAGGCAGCAGAAGGAAATGAGATTTTGAGTGGAATGCTGTAGATAAAGTCGGAAAAGATCTCTCGGAATGTGTGGATGTGCCCAAAGGAGTGGAACTTGTGCCGGGTTTTTGCAGCTCAGACCGAGAAGTGTTGAAACTCCAAATAAAACTTCGCGCATTTAACAGCGTCCTTTTTCCTCAGCTTCACAAGGCCGCAGTGGGGCTGGCGGCTGACCTCTTGAAGTACCACGCAGATCATGTTGTGCTGAAAGCCTTGAAGGTTTCTGGAGGGGAGGGCAACCTGGAGACCGTGGCTGAATACTCCTGCAAACTGACTGAGCAGAAGGAGCAGCTGGTGGAGGTGAGGCCTCTTTTCCCCAGGGTGCAGTCTTTTATTTATCCTGCGAATTAATTAGGCAACAAGGGCATTTGCACAATTAACATCAACTAGCATTTATTTTCATATGGCGCCTTTAAAATTGGCTTCTCAAAGTGCTTGCAGAACAACACAAAAGGAGAAAGTAGATGGGGGTTTGGAATACAGTAGGAAAGCTATGGGGCACACAGAACCAGTTAAATAGCAGCGCTTCTAAAAAAGAAGGTTTTCATTCTAGATTTGAAGGAGATCTGGGAAGGTGACTCTCTAATATCTTTAGAGAGAGAGTTCCAGAGTTCGGGGGCGTAGCAGCAGAAGACCTTGTCATCCATAGAGTAAAGACGGGCTAGGAGGGCGGACTGGAGGCCAGAATTAGACAAGCAAAGGTTGTGAGATGGGGAGTCGAACGATAGTAATGGGGCGGTCTTGCTTTGACACTGGAGGAAGTGACTACTAGAAACTTGAACAAAGCCATTCCTTCTGCTTTGGTCTCATTGCTGGAGTAATTAAACATGAATTCATCGAGAAAAAAATTCAGCCTTCCACCTTCTGTCTTGCTTAAGTCATGAGATTTATGCGCTGGCTGCTTGTTTCTCTTTTCTTTATTTGCTCAGACCTGTCGATTACTGCGGCACGTTTCAGGAACGGAACCCCTAGAGATAACCTGCATACATGCAGAAGACACCTTTCAGGTTATAGGCCCACAGGTAAGTTGTAAACAGAGCACCCAGATCCAATCGAGGTATCATTGGATAGTTTAAAATTTTAAAATAAGGGTTTCAGTGACAAGGCTTTAGGAGCTTTTTTGGAACGTACCATACTTACTGTGAAGCAAGGGCTATAATGTGATCAAATGTAAAAACTCAAGCGTGTGATCAGCATTGTAGTGTACAACTTTAATGCTGGCCTTCCAGCCAGCACTGTGGTGGACTGATTCAGCTCTGAGACTGTGTCCCTTGAATTTGGAAGCAGAGCAGAGCATTCGCTGTCCATTCTTGCCTGAGGCTTTAAACACATGGCAGCTAGACTCTTATTGCAAACCTCTTGTGCAAAGTCAATAGAACTTGGGCCTCAATAGGAAATGCATTCTAGCTGCAAAAAGTTACATCATCTCCTATTGTGATTGCTTTTGGCCTGGCTTACAATGACGACCTAGTTTGCTTTTATAGGAATTGCTAGTTGCTGTGTTCAGTTGGATTTTTGCCCTCTTTCCAGTTGAAAGCCCCATTGAAAATCTATACGTCAGCATATACTAGCCCTGCACAGTTTTCACAATTCATTGCTCGAAACTTTAGGGTATCGACACTTTGAAGTACCCATTACCTTTTGTTATATACTGTACACAATCTACTCTGTGGATTCAAAGCAAAAATCTAAAAGAAATAAGTAGATAGATGATATGAATGAAAAATTGAAAAAGATTGCGTACATATTCAAAACCTTTGCCATGGAAAACATAGAATAAATGTAGGTGTACAACATTATCTTAGTGAGCAACTCCCTAAGTTGAGTGACTTTAATTAATAGTAGTGCACATGATTACAAAACAAATACACCTCTACATCTCTGTAAGCCCCCCCCACTAAGATTGTTCAAAGACATAGATCAGGAGAAGCATATAAAAACATTTCAAAGACCCTTCATATCTCTTTGAGCTTGGTGACGTAGATCATTTAGAACTGGAAGGAACCCATACTGAACAGCCAGGCAAAGAAGTAACTGGTTAGGAATGGCTCCATGAGGCCAAAGGCAACTTTGAAAGCATTACAGAGTCCAGTGGCTGGTGTAGGAAAAAATGGCCGTTGGTCAACACTATCCCAGTCACTTCACAGGGGGCTTGTATGGAACTAAAAGAAAAACATCTTGAATCACTTACAGTCTCAAACTTATAGGTAATACTGGCAACATGGGGCAGAAGATTTTGTGGTGAGACCAGACAAAATTGGCATTTTATGGTCTAAATGCAAAAAATCTCTCACAGATCCAACGTAGCACATCACTCAGTCACCTGAGCTGTCAAACAAGGTAACGGCAACAGTGTTATAGCTTTGTATCTCATCAGTAGGGATTGGATAGCTTGTTAGGATTAAAGAGAAAGTGTACAGGCCAACAGTAGAGGAAAAGCTGTTTCAGTCGGTCGAAATTTAAAGCTGAGGGCAAACATTCTGCTTAGAGCAAGTCAGTGATCCAAAGCACAAGGCCAAATATATACTTCAGTGGCCCAGTCAGAGTCAGAATTCTACTGAGAATTTGTGGAAATACTTGAAAACTGCTGTCAATAAGTGATCCCAAAATTATTTGAGAGAATTTAAGCATATCTGTCATAATGTTTAACATGTTACAGGTGAGCACAAAAATGAAGAATTACAGCTATTAACATTCTGAGCTGTAATTGCAAAGTTCATTTAACATCATAGTCACTTGGTTGCAAAGTATCCACAGTATCTTGTGGTAATAATTGGACTGAATAGGGTTCACAAAGCCAAGGATGGAAAGGAAGGTAAAGAAAAACTTTAAAACCTGTCCAGTAGGACTGTATTGTAAATTCGTTTGTAAAACCCTGTAGTAAAAAATGTTTATTGTGTGTTTTTGCAGAGGTAGGGGATATTTATGTCCTCATAGCTTGAATATAGACACCAACTACCAAAATATATTCTGTATCGCAAATAGTTGAATGCAAATATCCTATAGAAGTTTTCCACAGTATTTCCACAGAGAATCCACAGAATGCCCTGAGGTGCTAGTGTGTGTATTGTAATTTACACTGGGGCCGTAGTACTAGTAGGAAAACTTCTATAGACTCCCTTACCTAAAGCAATAATGAATTTTAATGTTAAATATAATTTTACAAGGACTTCATAATCTATGTTTATAAAAATTACAATATTCAAAATCAGGGGATTCTCAAAAGTCTCTAACATTTTGTGTCCTAACAAAGGCTGAGATCAGCATTGCAGTTGTACTCTATCAGACTCCTAATTAGAATAATTAACTGTTGTTGTTTTTCTTGCTCTTCAGATCATTTCTGCTGCACAAACGCTGGCCCTCCACCCATCCAGCAAAATTGCAAAAGAGAACCTGGATGTATTTTGTGAAGCCTGGGAGTCTCAATTAAACGACATGTCCATCCTTCTGAGAGAAATCAATGATGTGTTTGAAGGACGGAGAGGTACTGCGGGAGTTATTTTAGATCTTGCCCATCAGCTATTTTAATCGTTTCGGACGCTCTTCCTTGAATGCAATAGAAATATCATATTTATCTATTTAAGTCATTACAGGGGTATTTTCATTTCACCAACACAGTGCTACACACAAGAAATGTGTATTCTATGCCAATGGTTGAATACATCAAGGCATGTATGCAAATTCTACAGATTTTGAATATTGCTTTTATTTTTCTGGCGGAGCTTTGATTGATTGACCATTAAATTCTTAAATTTGACTGTTGCATAAGCACTTAATCGCCCCATTAGTCATAGAACTGACAGGGCAAAGGCAGTAAGGTGATTTAAGCTGTTAAATGTCAAAAATGGATACGAGTAAGAAAACTCAGAAAGAGCTGATATGTCCCAGTTTTCAAGCCCGAAATGCCTTAGTAACATCACTTTATTGGAGACACTTTTCCTCATTTTCTGGGGTATTCACAGACGACAATTTTTAACCTGGCATGACATTATAGCTAAACACATTCTCTCGGTGTCCAGCCTCTGTTTGAGAGACATGCAGACACCAACTCGCCAAGATCAACATTTCATGCTTCATTTTTAGGCGCTGCCAAAAATATTATTTTCTTGATAAAAGCATTGCAAAGTTTTTGGCGTTCTAATTTTCTTTTGCTCAGTGTATAAGTATTAGAATATACAATTATGTATAATGTCATTATTATATGCTTTATATATAAAGAGCAGTAAACTTGATGGCAAAGTAAAAAAAATCACAATGTTGAAGAAAACAATTTGCAGGAATTGTGTAACAAGTAAAGTACTGCTTTTTGTTACTCAAATCTGTACTTATCATTAAATGAAAGTCTCAGCAGTACCTTCTGTTGCTACTTCACTGAAGTTGACAAACTAGGCTGTAAATGGCTAATGGTAACTAAATTATTCTCTGTGTGTTTTTTTTTTTATCGTGACACAATGTCTCTCATTTTGAAGCCCTGTGGTTTTGCCACATACTGTTATTAATGGTACCCAATCTGTAAGCCTGACAGGCCCTGGCAAAGTCATTGAACTGAGGAAGAATCCATCTAACACTCTCAAGTTTAAGAATGTTTTTGTGCTCCCATGAGATGCTTTCTCATAGTAAAACTCTGAATCATTTGTCTGCTTCTCGAGATGGTAGTAGGCGGTATATTAAAATACCACAGGGTTTCTATACCAGTGCAAAGTTTATGTTCAGTCAGACGGTTTTTACAGCGTTTTTCAGATGCCATAAAACAACTCAATCACATTTGTTGTAGCGTTCTTAAAATTTACATGGCCGTTATAAGACGTCCGAGTTCCTAAATTGTGCTAAATCCCGTTGTTAGGTTGAAATACAACTTTAATCTTTGTTTTATGTCTCATGCCAGGAGACAAGCGAACATACTTATCATTACCCAGACCTGGGGTGAGTAACAGAACATTCCCCTACTCGTTCAATTTTTTTGCCATCATTGGGCCTTCATTGTATTATTGTTTGTCCCTCCCAATTATTTAATATTAGTTTTATTTTGCTTTTTTATTTGTTTTGCTCCGATCTGTGCTACTCAAGTTTTTGTTTGTTAAATCATTTCCCCCCTATAGAAACACTCAGCGAACCTGAAGACAGTAAAAGCAGTCAAGCTAGACGCTGAGGTAGGTTGACATGACTCGCAAACCTTGTGTTAAAAGACCATGATAAAAACATTCCTTAGCATGGATGATTAATATTGTGAAATTTCCACTTAGGGGGAATCTGTCACCCTAGTCTAAGGGAAAAAAAATTAGATAAAGAAAATCTTGTGATTATAATCTTGAATGCACACAAGTTGCTATTCATAAACTTTCAGCATAGCATAGTATAAAAGGTCTTGTCCAAAGACCTAACTAACTAAAAAATAATACATTTGCCTATAAAAGCTGTGTGTCCTACAGTTGGTGTAAAAAAAAAGTTATAAGGATAGCAAATGGTAAAGAAAGTACATATTAGAAAGACCAAACTGCACCTTAGATGCCATAAATAAACCTACAGACTGTTCTGACCTTTTCTCATTCATTTCTTGGCCCGCTTTGTAAGATTTTAGTTTATTTTCAACTTTTTCCTCCAGGCCATTCTGATGGAAATCGGGAATGTTTTATTTTTTTCTACCTGAACCTGGGCCTGACCATTGCAGTGTTTGAATATACAGTAGCCAGTGCTGTACAGACATGGAAGAATGGCAAGGTCTTTTAACAGTGTTGCTGAGCATAAGATTGTGTCACTGCAGGGCATGTAACCCTTTTAAAATACAGCATGTTAGCATACACTGTACGTGAACACAAACCTCCAATTGCATTTCCTGCTTCCAGTGCAATTAATTAGGCCACACAGCAAGAATGGGTTTAGTCCTATAGAGAATTTAATTGGGGAAAAAAGACATTTCTGTCCTTTTTCAGGAGCAGAGCACTATAGCTAAACTTGGCCTTGAATTACGGCTGCTGACCTCTGACGTGGACTCTGAGAGTGACAAATGGGAGGACCAGGAGCACGAGATTGTGCGTCAGGGCCAGAGCATGTCCAGTATGGCTTATTCTATGTATCTCTTCACCAGGTAATGTACAGAACTCAGCCATAATAGTGACTAAATATTACACAGAAAAGACGGTACCTGCGACTGTTGTACATAGCTTCTGTCTTTTAAGGGTTTGATCATCTCTTCAATTTTTAAAAATTGATCAAAGGGTGTTTTTATAAAGTTATTGGACACATATTGTTGGATCAACTATCAGAAGGCTCTCGATGTAGACATTTGTGAAACTCTGCATTGTAAAACTCTCACTATGGATAATACTGAACAGCACAGCAGTACAGTGTGTATGAGCATTGTTTTCTGGCCCACTTACATTTTGTGGTGTAGTCTTCTGAAACTAAAGAACTTCTTGGAATCGGGGGGGAAAAAATATCCTTAACATTGTATCATTTAACCTGTCAAGTGACAGCGTCATAAGCCAAATCACAAACAAAATTTATTTAATTCCATCATTTCGAAAGCATTCATTTTAATTACTTATTAGGCCACATGGTCTATCCCATATCACCCCTATGTTTGTAACAATATGTATGCAATTTAAAAATAAATCCATGTTCAATTTGCTGAATTGAGATTTGATCTTGCCTTTTCTTTACACTGTCATTTTGGAATCTGCTGCACAAAACGTGTCTGAAGTCAGTAACAAAAAGAATTACAAAACGACCAATATATCAGCTAAGATTATCTTTAAAGAGGTCTCCTTTCTTTCAAGGCTTTCTTCAAAATAGGATTATCTATCTAAATAATGAACATATATGGTTTATTATAAATTGTTATAGTTGGACTGCATTGCAAATGTTATTATTTACTCCTTATTTTGGAAAACAGATGTTTTGATTTCATAGGACATTAGCAAATCACAACTGTTTTCACTTGTAGATGAGTAGCCCTTTAATCCACAACAAATATGATTCAAGTCCTTCTGTGTTCTAGGTTTTTTTTTGTTTTCTCCTGCCTGCAGCAAAATTCAATAATGTAGAAATAACTTCATAAAAATGTTGGTGATGGAAATTCTAAAGTTCCGATGTCTGAAACCTGTCATAGTCATGATATAGTGCTGTACAGTAATTCTGATCTGAGTTTTGGAAAAACCTTTACTTAAGTATTACCTAGTGTAAATGTTCCTCTGCTAACAGTAGCTATGAAAACTTGATCCACTTGATTCAGGTTTCTGTGATTTGAATGCCCTGACAGTGTGCACTAGCTCAGTGCTTTATCCGTAATGGTTAAATACTAACATGGTATCTTGATAGTTTCTGTCAAGGGCAAGTTTTGGATTTAATCTGGATCAGCCCAGCTCTTCAGCTACTTTAATCAGTTCCTCAAGGATGTGGTTTGCTGTATTGTGGTATCATTGAGTTACATACAGCAGTGATGAACAGGTTAATTTCTTCTTCAAGTTCAAATTCCTCTTGCACTGAGGAGGAAAAAGGGCACATATCCACTTTTTGTACACAGTAGTTCCAGAAACTGAAAGTGTAAATTAATGTTTCTAAATATTGGTATTTCAGACTCTTTAGAAGGATGATAGTTTTCAAGCTAAAGTTATTTCAGACACATACCAGTCGGAAACAATCTATGTAATACATTTTACTGTATTCTTTATTGATTTTCAATAACTGCCTAGATGCAGGAGAGATTTGATTAATACAGTTTTTTAATCCTTCTGATTTAGAGGGGAGGGTCTCCTGAAGACAACCCAGGATTTATTCCACCAAGCTGAGGTACATGTGACTTTCACTTCTGAAAATTTAGCCTTCTTGTAGTTTATCAGGATTTTAAATGCACTCTGTCAGGAACATCATTAAAAGTAATGACTTTCAGTATTTTCCTTTCAGAAAGCCCAGCAATCGATATGTTATTAAAAGGCCTAACAGTCATTTGTCTTTCTTAACTGTTAAACTGCATCCTTGATCATGTGTTTGTATGCCTGAGACATCTGCAGATGCCTGATGAGACTTTGCAGCACTGCTTCACATAGAAACAATAATCTGGTACCATACTGACAACAGCCTCTCTGACATAGTCCAGTGTTTCCTGTCTGGAAATGGAAAGTAACATTTTAACCCTAAAGCTTTCTGCTTTCTGAAGGTTTTATTTAAGTACAGTACCTATGGAATGCTGAAGAGAAGTAAAATGGGGAAAAAACACAACAATAATAATTGGTGCAGTACTGAGATTTGGACATACAGTATGATATTTAATGAGGCCCCCTGCTTTTGAGTATGTATGGTGATTGTGTATTCCTTAATGGTTGGTTATTTTATCTAGTGAACACAAATTCATTTTAAGGAAAGCAAGTCTTCAGTATAAATGCTCAGATACTTTATAGATTAATGTGATTTGAATAGGATGCATAGGAATGCATTTTCTCTTTGGGTCATTTATTAAATAATATTAATAATATATAATAATATTTCTGATGTGCTATTTCACAGGGCGTCTTGAAAGTTTGCTGGCTTTTTTCCAGACAGAATGACAAATTAAAAAGACAAAGACCATGTAAATAAATATCTTATTTTAAAAAACAGTATTTATATTATTTCATTGTGCTCTTTTCTTAGAAATTCTAATATTGCTAGGGTTTTTGTACATTGGATAATGAAACAGGAGTGGGTCTTTTCGAGACCTTCAAATGAGGAATATACAGTAAACCTTTCCTGGCAGCCTTTTAACTGTGATATCTAAAAATATTCATATATTTATGTGTTGTTGAAGTACTGAGCAGATTAAGCCTCATTCGATAGCCAGGAATGTATTTTATGATTGAGAGTTGAAACCATACATGAGTATTGAACCTACAATGTAGTGAATCAGTTACAATGTACATTGTTAGGCACAAAATATCATTTTGTGGTTCAAATAAACTGCTTTTCCATTTTTATTTTTGCAGGTGTTCTCTGAAGAGGGGTTTAAACTGTGTTCTACACTCCAGGCTTTCTCATCTCAGGTATGACAATAAATCACAATACCAGGAAATTAAAATCATTGCTAAGACTTTAATTTGTTTTTTTTTCAGGCCTGACATGGTAAATAATAAAGGTATATGTCCAGCCGTGCACCTTGAAGCCTCAGTAGCAGTATTTAATTAAAAGTCTCTCCTTGACAACCATTAATGGTTTCCATCCATCTTGGGAGACAAATTGGAGTCATTCTGTTCGCCTGCTTCTGTCGTCTTTGAGTTTCTGAACAGGCAGGAGGGAGAACGTTAAGCTGTGATCAGATATATTCATAGACTGAGCTGTTAAGTGCTGCAACATTAAAGGATAATGAGATACAGTGCCCTCCAAAAGTATGGGGACCAGAAAAGTTAAACTGTTATTTTTGCTTTAAATGAAATTTGGATTTGTGTAATGTAGAAGTAGATTTTGGTTTTGTGTGATTTCATGCTTAATATTATACAATGTTATGACAGTACTACTATGTTGTGGGTACACTGCAGTGTTCAATAGCATGGTAAGTAATAGTAACCAAGGCTACCCATGCTACAGTAATGGATGTTTTCAGCCTATGTTTTTCATTCCTTTTGTACAGTTCAATAAAACTAAGTTTACTTCCCCTGACAGGACATTCAGTCTTTTAACATGACACATTTGGTAACATCAGAACAAAAACATACTTTGTGTTTAGCCAAGGAAAATCAAGTTGCCGTATGTATTGGGACTGATTTACTTTGAAATACAGACTATATAAGTCAAAATTTGGCTGCAAATCCCTTTAAATAACTTCATAAATGTACTACCTATTGAGCTCACTAAACTTCGTGTCATCATTTGAGGTGCTTTGATCCACCCATTTTGACTTCTTATCTATTCTTTGTGTGTTCTGACTTCAGTTTTTACTTCAGCGTGTAAAATGCACGCTCAAATAAATTTAGATATGGAGTCTAATACATAACCAAAAAAAGTTTTCTTAAATTCAGAATACGTTCTGATGCTGCCATTAGTTGCCATCAATAAATGCAAGGCAGTTCCACAGACCTGGCTACTATGTTACCACTTCCTTAGTTCAAATTTTGCTCAGGAGTTTAAAGATGAACCAGGAGAATTTTATGGACAGACGAGGCAAACCTTTACCAAAACGATGAAAATGTGTTGAGGAAAAATGGAACTGCAGATACTCCAACGAAACACCACCTCTTCTGTGGCCATCTCTAGAAGTTTTGTGGAAATCCATGTACTACATCCTACTGCGGGTTTCAGTGTCATCTAGGAAAAAGTGCGTTTTGGCCTTTTCAGAGCAATGTAATTCTAGGATCTATTTTTTAACAGGATCTTCTGTACTGTTTAGTATTACAATTTAATGAAATTATACATTTCTTTTCCTTAGCTGGGAGATGATGAGAAATCTCTCATTGTATCGGAGAAAGAGAAGCTTGGAGCCTTATGTCAGCAACTGCAGGTCACTGCAAAAACACCTGTACAAGGCAAGAATGCAACTTTCATGAAGGTACTTCAACTCTTTGTCAATATTACGTCTGTAAACGTTTTAAATAATTAGCTAATGGAGATCCCTTGATATAGCTGATCATGTAAAATTGATCTGGATAGTTCTATTGGGGAAAGTTTAAAAAATGATATATTAAAAGCACTTAAGGACACAAGGACTTTTGGACATTATGTCTTTTAAAATCAATGCTCACCATGAAAGTTGTAATACATTTTTCTAACTAATGGATTTTAATCCCAGAGAGTTAGAGGAATTAAAGTATTTTGTCTCCATTATTGGATTCTAATTAGCTAGTCTTAGCCAACGGGTATTTCAAATGCCATCCAAACTGATTTAGTGTTTGTTGGTACACAGCTGAAGGCAAGCAGTGAGATTTTCTAAAACACTTTATGAAAGTATCATCAAATTCAATTGCAAACGTCAATAGTTTTACAGAATTCAATTGTGGAACATGTGGATGGGCTCATTTAGTTCTTTTCTGATAAACCAGCACTGCCCCATGGTCTTCTGGGATGCCACTGATCCACTCTCCTGTCATATTTGATGCTAAGTGGATTTAGCTCTCTGAACTGATTGAGTGGTCTGAGAAGAAAACAGAGAAAACAAGCCTCTTCTTAAGCTTCCTAGAAAGGCAAATCATTTCTTCAAAGTACTGTTTAACAAGGATTAAAAATATGGGTTTAAGGAAAATGTCAGTATGGATCTTAACAATATCGGAACTCAATCTTTGACCCCTGATCCATTTTTCTGATTGATTTTGCTTCTGATTCATCTCTTCAGGTTGATTCATCTATTCAGAACACCAAAAACATCATGACAGTGGTGGTGTATCTCCTTCCTGTTTGTTATAAGTTAATCAGAAAGGTAAGCATACAGTTATATTTACTGAACAAACTAAATTCTCACCCTTATTATTCAAATACATAATATTATAAACCATGCTTCTCATTCATTTACATCTTGATGGTAAAACTGAGCAGTGTTAGTTTAATTCTTCAGTTGCTCTGCTCAATACCTACAGTAGAGCAATTGGAGAGCTAACCAACTGGAAAGCTATTCATGACAGACATCAAAATAAAAGAGTCTACAAGTTAAATACCACAGGCTTTTTCAAAAGAAGACATAAAACTTCTAAAGTGTCTTTGAAAGACATCAGGAAGGTGTTCTCTTAGGAACCCAAATTGCCTGCAATATATAGAACCAAAACATATATTTTTAAAAAGTGCTGTTTTATAGATTCCAAGTGGTGCATTTCAAGAGATAATAGATCAGATACTCATGTTTTTTTATCAGATCACGGAGCTGTACTTCAAACTTATTAACTCAATTTATTGCATTTATTCATAAGCTTTTTTATAAAGTATTTCACTTGTTATAAGACCAGTGTCATTAAAGTATATTCATCTTAAGGTAATATCATGCTGTTTCATAGCACGATGTGATAGTTTTAATAATTAGCTATTTGGATTCTAAATATGTTAATGACTAGACTTCTCCAGTCAATGCTAATTGTAAAGCACTTTGGAACTTCCAGTGTGCATTTGTACCTGATGTGGGTATTGTCCTCATTCCCTTTACATTGGCTTGTAGTAAAATGCAACTGGTGGTTCCCTATTGTGTAAGTATGAAAAGCAAGTAAAGGAATTGATTTTTTTTAAAAAGCTTCCAATAAAATTTCACTAAATTACAAGGAAATTGTATTGCTCTTGTAACTAAAAAATTACACTTAACAAAAAAGGTGTGCCCATTACAAATGTTCACTCTTTGTTCCTTTTGTAAGCACCCAAGGATCTGGTTAGTTACAATGCAAATTTTGTTAGAAAATGAAATGTTAAACATTTTTGCAGTACATGTCTGAGAAGAGCAGTCTGGGATCCCCTCAGAGTTGGAGAGAGAAACAGCTGCCAACACCTGTTAATGAAGATGCTCTCGATAGAAAGAATGCCAATGGCTTCGGAGTAAAATCGCTGGAACACCACATGTCCAACCTCACTTTTCTTGAGAGCAAGTAACACTGCCCACCTGGACTAAATTAAGCTTTTATGGTTGTTGAGATTCATTAGCAAAGCTCCTTCATCAACCTCCCAAATAAGCTAGACATTCCCAGCTGCCTCCTTTCGGTGTATACCACCTGGCACTCACAGAAAGAATGTCATTAAAAGACATTACAGAGCTCCGCCGAGGAAAATACAAACTGGCATCGCTGTGCATCATTTCAGTGCTTTTTGATGTGATTTTAGCCTTCATCGAATAGATTTGTAGAAATTAAAAAAAACACAAGGAAAATAACTCAAAACAGTGCGTGTTTTGTGGGTGGAAAAAGCCTAATGGAAACTACAAATTAGAATTAAGGGCAGTAAGACTGGGTTCTACTCACAAATATTCAGCCGTGTACAGTAATGACAAGCAACCCCTGATTACATTGATCTTAAACTACCTAGTGTTGTTTACAGAAAGGTAGTTCAAGGTAAGTGCCTGTCAAGGTTTTTGAAAAGAGCACATCATTTTAAAATGCTAACACCAAAAAAAATGCCGTTTTTAAATCCTTTCTGGGACTGGGACTATGCATGAACTGTCACCATGACTGAATGAAGCCAGATGTAGCATCAAGTAGAGAAGTAGGGAGGTGGGTACTTTTTCAATACCTGGTTCATTGAACATTGACTAAAAAAGTACCCCCCTAGTTTTTATTTTATTGACCATTAGTTGTAATAGATATTACATCAAGTGAGAAATGTATTTTTAAAAGAAAGCTATCAATTAAAGGAGAGAACATTAGAATTTGTTAGCAGTACTGGAACTGCATGGATGGGCTTGTACGTGTGAGTTCCTACAAAGCAATGAAGTGTCTCAAACAAGCACAGTAAATTTTACAAAAACAATTCTGTCACCTCATCTCCCCTTCTGTTTTCTTCCGCACTCTATACAATTCAAGGCACTTGGAACACCACACATTCAAAGAAAAGAACGATACCAAATTCCTTTGCTTACATAATTACAACCTGACTGAGTAACTGTATATAAATGTCCTGAAGATTCAGAGATGCTGCTAAACTGGTCATTTGCAAAAAAAAATATTTGGAGTTGTCATGTATCTTGTATGTAGTGAAAATCTACTGTTTAGGAGTAAATGTTGATTATAGTAAGCTCTGGACCATTAATCCTTTGATTGCAGAATAACATGATATTTTAGGACTGTCTTACATAGAATATATATAACAGTATATTTTAAGTATACAGAAAAATGATATTCTGATTTTACATACATTTCTTTAGATTTAGATTTTCTCTATTCTCAAAATACCAATTCTATGACATCTGAAGAGCTGTCCTCTCCTTTAAAACCATGGGGTTGGTTATAACCTTGTGACAAAGTGTCTAAATACTGTGTATTTCTCTTGTGCTAATACATTTTCACCTTTTAAAAACTAAGGCCCTGAGTCAAAATGCACATCCATAATCAAAGGGTTAATGTTCTACCTAATTGACATGTCATTGCCTGAACATAAATGTCTTGCCAGTCTGGTACTTTGTAAATGGGTTAGGAAAATAAAGCATGAATGAACTACTGAGCACATTTGTAGTGTAGAAGACTTGTACCATATTTATTTTTCATGTAAAGTCAAGTTTTTTTTACAATTCTCTAACCTGTAAAATTATATTTTTCAAATAAAAATCTTAATTTACAACACCTCAATCTGGAATGGTATTGGCTTTGTTTTCCGAGTATATATCTAAGCACTTACGTCTTCCTCCTTTCAAAAAGCAGTTCCCATATCATTCACTCTTGTTTTTTCAACTGTGAAACAAACCAAAAGAAAACTCTGCTTTCTTTACATGTTTTCCCCCTTAAATCTAATGGGACCTTCAAACTCTCAAAACCAAAGCTGTATTTTCTTGACATCCCTTCTGCATTCAAGAGCGGGCTTTAAACGCTGCATAAGCACACGGCTATTTGTACAAAGCTGCTAACAATCCAGCAGCTCCTCTTGTCAGCACGGCTCTGGAGTGGTGTTCTGTCTCTTGGAGACAATCTCCTCGTACTCTGTTGGGGTCAGCAGTCCTTGAGTAACAATCTTACTTTCTTCAAATTTAGGCAGCACCACAGCAATGTAGCCTTCTGTGGATGGCTAGTGAGAGAAAGGGGAATAATCATTTAGACATCTTCAATCAGCACTCTCCAGTCCTGCTTTTGGAGGAGTGTCTCTGGAGTGTTTCTCTTTAAAGCAGAAACACTTTGGAGATTTTAAATGAGTCCAGTTACACTAATAATGAATTAATCTAAGAGATTAATTGAAACATGAAAATAACTGCCCTCCGCAGCAAGGATTGGACATCCCTGCCTTAAATACTGTATTGAATCTGAAGAAAATATAGTTGATAAGTTTTGCACAGTATTCACAGTAAATCATTTCAGAGAGTACAACTACACTATTCCTTGGTCCCACATAGAGATAAACATATTGGACAACTGGAAGATAGTGAACTTTTAAAATAATTTTAGTTTAATAAATTATTAATAACTATTAATAAACTTTAAGATTATTATCATATTATTATTATTATTATTATTATCCTCAAAGGTTAATTTCAGATACTAGTTAAGCATGTTTTTTTTCAAGAAACCGAGTAAAACTGGAAAGTTGTGGTTCCAAAAGCTACACTAAGTTTTTCTTGTTTTGAAAGGTTCTAAAACACTGTGACAGCTCACAGAAAATGATGATGCACATTACATTTCAAGCGGAAATTTGGATCAGGCACTGAAATTGACACTAGCATATTTACAGGCAGTGGACAAAGAAAAGGTGACATCTGGGTAAAGAGGGACACTACATATCAAAAGGACTTCCACATAGGTGTGGCTCATGCATTAATTCAGCAGATAACATACCAGCATGCTTTGGGCCATGTATAAACATGTCATCCATGTATAGAAATGGACAGTCCAGGTTGCCTCTAATTATGACTAGCCATGGCTGTAAGAGGAGACCTCAGTGACTGGAAAGAAGGGTTTGTGGGTTTGGCTGGAGATTCACTGACCAAGATGGCTCAACTTCATGCTTCACAAGCAACAGTGTCTAAGGTGATGTCAACATGAAACTCCAAGGCAAAGCCATCATCAGCAAAGGTTAACAGTGGACAGAAGCTCTCAATCCAGAATGGTTAACGTACTTGGGCTTCACATTCATTAAAAGTGATTCTTTTGATTGCCTCGAGCACTTCACCACATTCTCTGCTTTAGATCTCCTCAGAGCAGGATTCCGTATTCAGGTGGAAGTGTACAAACCGCTCATCATACCCGGCAGTGGATGTTTGTGAGTCCAGTGGTACAAAGAGCAAAGGAAGTAAACTACCACCCGGTGGAGAAATCTCTCCTGCTGCAAGGGGTGTCTTCCGGGTTGACAATGCCCTCATCCACTGAGCAAGTGGTCACCTTATGGTTTGATGAGCACAAATATTATCCATACATCATGGCCTTCTCAGCCACCAGAACCCAACCCGATCGAGGAATTATGGGATATTCTGGTAAGATGCCTGAGACAACATTTTTCACCTCCATTACCCAGATGTGAGTTGATAAGATTTTTTTTCATGAAGAATGGTGCCACATCCCTCTTGCAGAACTCCTCCTGGTGGACTCCATAACACAGAGCACACAGGTCATACTGGTCACACATGGTGGACCAGAGCCCTATTCGTAATATTACATTTGTGTTTCCATTTTTTTGTCCACTACTTGTACATCCACATAATTAGGCTTAAGTTTTCCTTCAGTGTAAAACTACCACATTCAAACTTTCAACAGCAAAAGACCTCACCTTTTCCAATAACAGATTTGGATTCGTGAGGATGTCTTCATTTACTTCTAACAGGCGTCCTCTGATACAGCTAGAAAGGATACAGCACAAAAATCATGATTTTCACAATTTTCCACTAATGGAAGTCTAAAACCTTCAAAGTCATTTGCATTTATAATACTAAGTTGTACAACATTCCTCTGCCACTGTTGAACCGTGGCACAATGCATTCAGAAGACAAACTGCTATGGAGAAATTGACGATACACTGCTATGTTTAATGTGGCGTCAACAAGTCTGAATACTCAAACATCACTGGTTTATTAAAATGAATAAGATCTCCCTCATTAATTGCCAGAGTCTCCCACAATCAAGTAATCTACTGTCTGGGGTGATCAAGGTATGACTCACGAATCCATTAATGTAGTATTCAAGACTAGAATAGTATAACCACAGTCAACAGTTGAAAAACAATACTTAATCTCTGTTCAAATTACAAGCACAAATACATTTAAAATATATTGTATTTATTAATGAACAATACTTAAAACGTGGGATCTAAAGCTTCAAAAATAAAGTCGCTACTCACAAAGTAATGCTAACTGCAGTTCAGTTGGAGATATACCAATAAAACATTTAGATATAAAATAGGTTCCAAAATTCAGGAATAATGCTCTTCTCACCATTGAATTTCTTAACAATACTCTAAAATATGAAAATAATTGTAGTCAGAAGTGTGGTTTGTAACTAATTTACATTTCTGAAACTCAAAGGCATTCGCTGCAGGCATCGTGTACATGCAAGACACGAGAACCGAGGATATGAAGAAGATTAAAATTAAGGAAATGTGACATCTTTGTACATGTCTTACCTAAAAATAGTATATTCTTCTCCATCTGTGCATGTTATTCTACAAAGAGGCGCAAGCTCCGTGAGAAACTGTCCACCCTAGAAAATGAAATAAAGGGATAAAACATTTTATTACAAGGGCAGTAGTGGGATGAAATAATTTACGTTTTAAATATACAGAAATATATATATTGCTCACACATACTTCTTCAAATGATATCTCTGCTGTTTAGTAGCTGTATTACTTCGTACACCCCTTTCAACATGCTTATGGCTTGTAATGATATTTGTAATTTGGGAACATTTTCAAACTAAAATTGATGTTATCCCCCCATGATTTTAAAACAATTTTTACCTTGTACCTCGGTAGTATCGGAGAAATTATTGACTCAATACTTGATGTAATTTACATTTAACCAGCAGCACGCGATACAGTAGGCTAATGCTTTCAGTCAGTGTAATAAGCCTCCATCACCTAACAAACAACACTGAGAGGACTGTCACAAGTATCACCAAACTGGAAAGAAGGAACTTGTTCATGCATGTCATATGCTGTATACAGAGGCTTGAGAAATACCCTTTTTGATTTCCCCGACACTTTGTTCTGAAGTCGGCTGCAGTTGGCACTGATCTGGTAATTGATGCTCTTGATTTTTTTCCCATGTTGTAAAATGGGATGTGATTCCGCAAGTGTGACGACACAGATTCTGCACACAAAAAAAAAAAAGAAAAGACAAGCACCACACTTAGAGCCACCAAACTAAAGAAGAACGGTGAAAGGGTTTTCTGGCAGGTTATGAACTTGGGGTGCAAATCAGATGCAGTCTGAATCCCTGACTGCAGTGTGGATACAGCTTTCGAGACGCATCCAATCAAAAAGGAAACTTTAACAGCAGCAATGGAAATTAATCTTTTTATCATTAAGCTCATGAAGACAAATGGAGACTATTATTTAATGCGGAAATGCAGAATGAGAGAGATACAAGAAGCTAATCCTTTCTGTTTGTGGATCTGTCTAATCCCACCTAAAAGTCAATTTTATACATTTTTTTTAAGTGGGAAATGTTTTTCTACCGAATATTTCATATTTGAACAGATTGTACGTAACATCGGCGTTGCTACAAGGGCTTCTTGGATTTTTAGATCATTCTAGAATGTGTCACAAAGTAAGCCCTGCAGCTTCATAAAAAACAGCTGTCCAAATACATTTCATTCATTTAAACATGGCTGACAGTCAGCCATTTTCACCTTTCACAACATTTCTGTGGTTGACAATTTTGACAAGTTAAAATGCCTTAATGCAGACCTCAATACCACCCACATCAACGACCTTATTCACAGACTACATTCTTCCCCAACTCTAAATGTCAGAAAGTCTTTGGACAACTAGAAACTAACAAATCTAAGTGTTAATGTTTTTTTAATTATGTTTGAACTAAACCACTTTATTTCCAAACAACTAAAAGTGGCTACTTAATATTAAGGTTGTCATAGAAACAGTTGGTTCCCAAGCAGTACTTAAGCTAATTAGAAAACAGCACGCTTGTTCTGCAGATCTGCATGTAAAATCCTCAATAGAACACATTTAATGTCAGAAGGCATTTGATACAAAGGATATGCTAAAGTAATCTAATACCAACTTAAAAATAAGCTTAGGTTAATTTTTTTTATTACAAGTGTATTTTATTTGATCCTTATAACGAAATGTCCTCTTTAAATATGCAGCCAGGAACTTAAGGAGAGGATATTTCTACCAAACAGCCTCAGTGCAAACGTAAAATTTTCTTATCGTACCATTTTAAGTCATTTTTTGAAGGTTAAAAAAGGATATTTACAAAACAACCGATCTTTATTTTCTACACATAAAGATTTTTGGAGGGTATAGTAAAAAATATGAAAACATCTCCTATGCAACAACAATCCAGTACAAACAGCACTGGATATTCAAGGTGAAAGATGCTTTAAAAAATCCCTTTTTGAGTATTATATGTGTATTTTTGTATCAGAGCATGTGTGCATCTTGTAGAACTAACCTGAATCACAAACAAAGCTCAGATGAATCTTAGAACAAACACAATTTCAAACATGATATAAAAAGGGCAAGACCACTGCACTGTTATAAATGTATATAATTTTAGATAAGCGTTAATAGGTTTATATACACTTCAGCTAAATAAAGTTTTTATTTCTACAACATTTTATTCTCAGGTCTTTTAGGTTTTGTTATTTTTTATCCAAAAATCGCAAAGGGGAGCTAAAGTATTTATTATTAATAACTAAGCAATTGGTTACACTACAAATTGTTTCTGTAAATTAAACATCAATTAAAAAATAATTTCTGTACTTACCTATTGGAATGTTGCAGAATGCAGTGGTCCTCACACGGTTTATTCTTCAAATCTTGATTATAAAAAGTCGTAATATCATACAAATGTAATGTTAAATATACATTAATAATATAGTAAAATCAAATACAAAGCGTGCAATAACATTAACATTCGACACAACAATCTGTATTATAAATTTAAACTTTGAAATTTACATATAATTTTTCCTAAATTATTTCTCTCTCCATGTACCTTATTTATTAAGGCAAAATTTCAAAAAGGGTTAAAATCTGTGTAAATACTTAAGTTGCTCTCTCGTTTAAGAACAGTTTAAATGGACAAGAACTAATTTACGTACCTGTTTTATACCATCGGGTAAAATACCGATCAATAACAGAAGGAGTTCCGTCATTATTCCCACCTTCCATCGATAAAGATAAACAATCTGGATTACTTTAAAGTAATTTGATTTTATATACAGCACAAAATTGTGTTACAATATTTCAACAATGGGACTCGAAACACTGTCACACCACAAATGTGATTTCTTCCGTACGCCAGTAAATATTTCCGAGTGCCTCACGAACTGCGCAGATTCGTTCCTTTTGAGTTAATGCACAAGCTCTCGGTGTATTACTGACACCTACTGTATCTATGTAAAATGCAAAAAGTGACATTAAGAAAATTCTGACATAATGATTGACAACTAGTCCAGTTGACCTAAAAATGAAAGAAAAATTTTATATCTTTTCCCTACATTTACATAAAACATAATCCAGAAAATTAATTTCAAAAACACTTTCTATCCACAACACCATACCCTAGATCTGTTTCAGAATTCCTTATAATGCTTTTCAATCCGTTGATGAAAGATAATCAGAATTCCTTTCATCTATCTTGTATATTTCATATCATAGGGTCGCAAAGATTTATCTCTCAAGTCAGCACCAAACTGGGTGACACAGGATTGCCTTTATGTGCTAACACAGCCACAACACATCACAACAGACAGCAGGGAGGGAATGAAAAGTTACTTTTTACGGTTTAAATTAAGGTGGAGTTTCTGGAAGGCCAGATTGTACTAAAGTTCTGAATATAATTTACACCTGGGTTACGCTGATGCCTTTCAAAAAGTGACACAGGAATTTAATTAACCAATTATTCAGAACCTTGGTTCAATCTCAACTAAAATACAGAGCCTCCCAATATCCCAGTTCCTGGTAAATGCACACTTGACAATATTTTACCTGATTTTGTGTGCTTTAGAACCACGGGTATATGCAGTTTCTGAAGGTACATGAAAATCCATCCATCTTCAGATCACTTCATCCAACGAAGGAGATGGATCCTAACCTGCGAAGCAACAGGCTCAAGACAGGATAGACTTACACAGGATGCCACTCCATTGTAGGGCAGTCACACAAACAACTGGGCCAGTTTTCCCTGAAGCCAATTAACCTACCAGTATGTCTTCAGAAGGTGGGAGGAAATGGGAGTACCAGGAGGGAACCCACACAAACACACAGAGAAGATACAAACTGCACACAGATAGCAGCCCAGGTCAGGAAGTGTGAGTCAACAACGCAAACTACTGCACCACCATACTGCTACCCATACACATACGTAAACACGTCTAAATATATTTTACAATAACCTGAATTTCACTAGGAATAACAACACCCTGCACCATCGAGAGCGCCCTCACCAATGGGATCAATGTGTGGTACAGCAACACCTCTTCTCGAGAGAGAAAGGCACTGCAGAGAATGGTGAATGTGGCCCAGAAGATCATCCGTTGACTTCTCACAGAGTTTAAACAGCTCTATGAGGACCGCTGCCGTGGTAGAATTCTGGCCATCACAGAGGACAGTCACCACCCCAGGCATGAGCTCTTCACCCCACTGCCCTCAGGCAAGAGATACAAGAGCATATAGACACTTACCACCAGATTCTTCAATTGCTTCTACCCACAAGCAGTGCAATTGGTGAAGACATTTGGCCATGCCCCTTGGACCACATCTACACCATCTATCTCATTATAATTTCTTATTTATTGCTCAACTGCAGTCATTTTTTACATGTCTGCATTGTTTACATTCAAACTGTTTACTTGTTTACTTGTACATCATCTACTGTTTGTTTGTATGTTGTCTTGATGCACTGTCTGCACTTTGTATTTTTACACTTTTTTAACAATTGAGAGACTTTTTGTAAGTAAGAATTCCATTGTACCAGTACATGTACTGGTTACACATGGCAATAAAGTTCAAGTTCAAGTTGAACCCTAGAATTAAGTGTACTGTAGGATTATCGAGTGGTTTAGTAAAAATTTGGCTCAACCCACCTGGTTGAGGACTAAGCTTGTGGCCATAGGGAATCTGGAAGGCTAAGTGTTTTGATTCCTCTTTCTTCTTAAAGTGTGTGAATTTGTTTTATATTATTAAATATTACTACTGTTAATTCATATTTCTACAACTGCATAAACTTCTTTAGTAGTGTATAAATATTTATGCACAAACTTTATGGACTGTAAATAATAATTAGTTATATAATAAATACAGATTAACATTTCCTTTAATAATGTATTAAGGAATTGCTCCCATTTGCATTTAGGTGTTGTTACCTCACGACAATCTGCGTACATAAAATCAAAGGTACGATTTGCACATGATTGCATAGCTGTCATCATTGTTCAGGTCTGGTATCAGCATGATTTACCTTGGTAAATAAAAAAAGGTCTAGACAAATTTTGCACCAACTTATAAATAAACAAAATTAATGACGTTCTTGGATACAAAACACGGAAAACCAAGATGTTTAATTTATCCTGTTTCTAGAATTGACTCTAAACAAATGTCCATAAAGTAATATTTACAGCTTTTGGTTAATCAAAAACCAACTGGAACTGTTTCGTTTTGCTATATTCCAGTTACTATGAGGAGATTTGCTGGCATTGCATAAAATTGGCTATTCTCCACTAGCAGGAATTTGACAGTGTCAGCTAATCTGTCAGGCACTGTCAACTTCAGAATGCCAGGCTTGTGAAATACTGGAAAGAATTACTCTTACCAGAACTACTTAAACTGTTTTTCTCTCTTTGCTGTAATGCATGCATTTTCTGCTAATTAAATTTATATTGTGCTGTCATAAATGCAAGCACTAAAGGACAATGATTGAGTAATCTTTAAAAAAAAGATTTAGAAAACAATTATTAATTTCAAGTATAACCTTATACAGCTGTTTAGTCATAAAATATTAGTTTTCATGTCTGGTGTTCATCTTGTTTGATGCTACATACTGTACATGTGTAGGTAACATACAGTACTGTATATGCCACTAAAATACTGAAATTCCTCATCGTTACTTCTTACCAAAAAAATACAAATTTGTTGTGGACAAATTAATTTTCTCTTTTTATCTGGGTTTATATTTTACAAATAGTTTTCCTGACTGTCATAGATTTTTTAGCAAACAAATAATAAACTTGCATAACTGAGAGAATGAGTGATGGTTCTTTTTTGTCACAGTGGTCACCTAATGCCCTTGATTTAATCATTGAACAAGGTTTTCTACACTTTATTAAACATTTTATATTTTTATACTCTTCATGGATATATTGTGTAATCTAGACAGACACAAGAAGACATTTAATATCTGTCAATCATGAACATGTAAAATAATAAAACCAACCAGTCAGAATGGGTGTTCTCAACTAGTAATTCTTTTTATTAATTTTATTTTCTATTAAACCATTTTCAGAACCCTTTTCCAATGTCCTTGGCAGATAAGTTTGTTCAATGCTAAACTGTCCCAAAATAATCTGATGACAGCTCAGAGATTCTTACTCTAAACTTTTGGCTTGTCCAGGGTGCAGTTCGCCAGCACTAAAGATTAATTTCAATCAACGTAATAGCATGATGTAATGAGTGGTGCCTTTGTTAGCATGCCACCGGTTCTGTCTTGGATAAACCGCCCAGTTCTTGATTTTGCCTTCTCTCAGATTCCCCGTTGGACTCAGTTTTGGACAGTTTGCCTCGGCCACACCTTGGACACGCCCCTTGTTTTCATTCCCGACTCCCACATGCTTTTTCCCTGTGTTTTTCCTCACTCTACCCCGGATTATGTCATCTGCATAGGGTCCGGAAAGAACGCTTTCATGACAAGGGGTTCTTGTTCGAGATGGACTCGAGATGGACTCAAGACGGCTAACAGAGTTGTTTTGCAGGACCAGAAGTGAAGGGAGGCGATAACTTCACAAGTTAGTGGCATCCCTTCTCCGCACACACAAGAGTGTGGATTCTAGGCAGCGCAGGTTATATCCAAAATACACCCTGTCCATTGAAGGGAGCAGGTGGCTGGGCCGACTGAGCAAGAAGGCAAGGAAATCAAGAGCCTGGCTGCTGATGTGTCGAGGGTCGCCAAGGCTGGTTATAGAGAAACATCCCTTGCCAAAGAGGGTCAGCCGGGAAAAATAGGAGAGAGAGATATTAAGCAGCAGCCAGAATCCTGACCAGGTCAAGTGCAAGTGTTCACATTACTCCTATCCTGGAGTCCTTGCACTGACTTCCTGTCAAATTCCGTGTAGACTTTAAAATCCTCACGCTCACCTATAAGGCTCTGCATGGCTTGGCACCTCTGTACCTGTCTGAACTATTATCACCTTACTCCCCACTTCACAACCTTCACTCTTCTAATTCTGCTCTCCTTACTGTCCCCCAAGCCCGTCTACATTGTATGGGGGACAGGGCCTTCTCCTGTTATGCCCCCAAGCTCTGGAACTCTCTGCCCAAGGATATCAGAGATATCACCTTCTCTAAACTCCTTTAAATCCAGACTCAAAACCCTCTTCTTCAGAAAAGCCTTTACTTAACTGGTTCCATTCTTCATCCCTCTGCTTTTCTTAGTATCACCATCCACGGTCTCCTCTGTATATTGTAATTGTGTTTTATCTTGTGTATTCTTCTTATTTATTGTTGTTGTCATCCTGTAAAGCGCTTTGAGAAGCCTCCTTTAAAGGCGCTATATAAAATAAAGTTCATAATAATTATAATAATAATAATTATTATTATTATATTAAGAGTAAAAAAGAGACAGATAACATTGAAGAGTGTTAGAGTGAGAGATGCGACAGAAGAGCTGGGAATGAGTAAACTGGGTTGAACTGGGTGCCGTGGAGTGGATTGTAATGAATACTACCAGAGATACTGAAGTGTAAGAGAAATAATTGGGTGCCTTGTAAAAGTATTCACTCAAATGATATCTATACATTTTTTAATGAATATGTTTAATCAAAATAAGAATACAGAAACTAAACACGGTCATAATGGAAATAAATAAAATGAAAAACTGCAAAGCAAAATAAAAAAGTAAAATATGGGCATTGCAGAAATATTTATCTCCCTGAATCAATATTTGGCGGAGGCAGGAATTACAGATGCCAGTGTTTTTTGAAAAGGTTTTAACAACTGTTCCTACTGGGATAGTGAAACATTTGCTCAATTTTCTCTGAAAAATTACTCAAATTCTGTTACGTTGGTTGGGGACCCTTGACGG